ATGCTTACCGCGTGCATGGTCCCTGACAACAACAACTTCCTGGTCTGCTGACTCCCTGAATAAAGCAATCTTGCACTCAGGAATCAGAAAAAAAAAAAAAAGAAAACACATTTCTGCAGACACAGCAGAGGCCAGGAGCCACGCGGCATGGCCGTTGCATGATAATGCATTTCTTGGCCCCGGGGTGTCCACCTGAGCAAGCCCGCCGGAGTCCAGAGCCCATCAGCTGATCCCATCACCGCTGGGCAGCACCCAGCCCGAGGGGCAAGGTCACGGTTCTTTACAGCAGTATCCTGAAGGTAAGCCGGCTTCTGACACTGTCTCAGTCTTGACTCCTTGAATGCCCCGTTCTCGACCACCTCTTCCAATTCCCATCACCTCCACAAACCCCTCTCCTTTCCCTGCACTGGCAGAAAAGAGCGGGGACTCAGATTCCTCCGTGAGCTTCTGGATCCTTCTACCCGTGCACCTTTGACACCCACTCACTGCTCCACCGAGAGTCACGCCAACCACAGGCCTAAGGAGAGACCCATCCTGCCGCAGACCCACCTCCCAGAGTTGGGCGGACACCTGCTGTCCACAGCCATGTGGTCCAAGGTCCCTGGGATGTCACAGATGTCACCGTAAACCCGTATTTCTCATGTGCTCTGAAGAGCCTTGGAAAGACAAGCTCCCTCCAGACAAATGGCTGTTCGAGCCCGAGGTCTGCAGAGAATGCACGACAGAAAGCACATGGGAACCCCTGCTTCCTCCCAGGGCTCAGGCAGCCCCAAAATGTGCTGCTGGGCTTCTTCCTTGCCGGGCAGCCCCGCCATCACATTCCAGGCCAAATATCTCAGGCACGTGGCTGGGGAGAGTGGTCTGGTTTGCAGACACCTCTCTGATTTACGATGCTGTGGCCTCACCGGCCTAGGGTTTTGGATAAAGCCCAATTCCGTTTGCTTGCAAGCCTGATCCTGAGGCCCTGGCGTTTCCAGCGACCCCGGCAATCTTTGCTCTAATCACTTTTGATTCTGTCGAGGAAAGAAGGCGCCTGGCTAACCCTCCGCGGCACAGGAATCCAGGCAGAGGGGAACGTGCCCTGAAGCTGAACTCGACTCAGGCCGAGCCTCTTCTTTCAGGGTTACTTTAGGGGGTCCTGTTTTTCTTTTTAATGAAAAGTAGCCAACTTCATCCGGAAGAATCCTCCCAGGAGGCTCACCTGAGTCTCTTCAAACATCGAGTATTTGCCGAGGGCTCTGAACCTCACAGCAAAGTTGTACAAAGCTAAGAAAAACAAGCTGATTTAAATTTTCTATTTTTACACGGTGTCCCATTTCCAGAGGGGCTGAAACGAGTGGTTTTAAACTCAATTTAGCAGTTAAGCTAATTTTCAGCCAGGTCTCTAAGGACTGGCGATTAGGGGAGGTGAAGGGTTCAGGGGGGGGCGGGCAGCTGGGCCTGTGGTCTGTCCGGAAGCGCCCCCAGCCCCTCCTTTCCCGGGCGGCGGGAGGGCGGGCCTGCGGGAGCCGGTGGGCAAGCAGCACCTAGGGCTCTGGAGAGGCCCCGGAGGCTGAGCCCATCAACCCACGCCCCCAGCCCGCCTGGGGAGGGATCGTAACACTTCCTGACCACTCGCTCGTGGCGGCCCACACGCACATGCTGGGGACAACAGGAGAAGAACGGGCCTTTTCAGCTCCCCGAGCCACGGGGCCGGGCGAGCCTCTGCAGAGAGCACAGCCCAGGCCTGGACACCGGCCCGCGTCCGCCCAGCCCGGCCACCACTTCATCTGTGGCCACCGCTCTCCTCCAAGCCTCAGAGTCCTGCCTGTTTAGAATTTGAGTGTGGTAATGAGTTTGGATAGCATAAGATCATGGCACAAAGGTACAGAAACGTTCCCGGTGACAAACATCTGGTCCCTGGCTGTACTGTCCCCTTCTCCTTGTTCTGACATTGCAGAAACACCAGGTCCCTGGTCAGCCTACCTTCTTCTTCTGTTGCTAGTTTTACATACGGTATCACACTCTTCACACTGTTCAATACAACAACAAAACTCGACAGTGTGTCCTGGGTAATCTCTATGGTCCAAGGCTCTCTCCACCCTTAGCGTTTCTTTAACGAGGAGAGGGATCGTGGCCTGGGTTTTAAAGAGTTTACTTCTTAAGCATCTGGGGAAACAGTCCTCTCAGAGGAGGGAAGAGAAAACAGGAGGATCCATCTTACAGCCTCACCATCGCTGGGGGGGCCCTCCTCAGCCACCCTCCCTCCCAGGAGCCACCTGCCCCGAGGGCTCCTCACTGCAGCCCGGGTGGGCAGCCTCTCCCAATGCCTGATAGTGCTCTGCATGTCAACCCAATCAATTCTGCTTCTTTTACAGGAAAGATTTACTTCCAGAGGTCAGAAAAACACTGTCAAGCCTGCAGCTGGTGACCCCGGGAGACCTGGACCCTAGGACTGGCTCCATCTCCAAGGTCCACATATTCTGCAGTCTGTCCAGTGTTGTCAGAAAACAAAGCCTCGACTCTTTTATGAAAATCCTAAGAAGGTCAGCCTTATAGGTGCCACCCTCTATCCCCACGCTGACGTGTCATGACTCATTTCCAAAATGTGTGTGCTCCAGGAGCTGGAGTGTGAGCCTGGCTCTCCCAACAGACGGCGGGGCTTGGTGAGGGAAGTCAGCCCGGTGGGCACAGGCCTGGGGGTGCCTCTCTGGAGCCACCAGTTCAGGAGCAAGGGTTTGCCCTTTAACTTTGTTCTAAGAGCCAGAGAACATTGAGAAGCGGCAGAGACAGAGGTGGACAGAGAGGGCTGGGTGTGGGCATCCCCTGCTTTTCCAGGTGTAAGGAGAGCGCAGATCAAAGAGCCCATGTGGGCATCCTCAGGCGAGGAAGCGGGGCCTGGACCCCATGGTGTGCACACACAGCCCAGGTCAGGTCCAGCCTATCTGCGGCCTCTCTGAGGCAGGGGCCTCTGTCTGGCCTCCCTCTCCTTCCTGGCCCCTGACCATCCTGCTCACCAGTATCCTAGCTGGACTGTGAACAGGAATAAAGGCTCTGCTCCCAGGCGATCCTCTCGTAGGCTCAGCCAGGCCGGGTTGGGACTCTGGCTCCTGTGGAGTTTCCGGACAAGCTGCAGGCCGTCCTCGCCAGTGACACACTCACTCCCAGAGACAATATGAATGTCAGCTCAGCTGGGCTCAGAGGACGCCAAGTGCACGTTTGCAAACCCCCTTCCCACACTGTCTCGACACCAGGAGTCTGGAGAGGAGCCACAGCGTCTGGATGTGGCAGCCACCCACAGAGGTCCTGCGACGTCCTTTCACTTCCCAGGAGCCGGGCCTGGGGTCCCTCCATCAGCCACGGAGCAGGCAGAGCCCTTGCTTGCCTTCTCCCTGTCAGGGCGCCTGGTGTCCTGGTGGCAGAAGGGCCGCCCTCTCCCCCATGACCCTGTCCCATCTTTGCTCTAGATAGCCCAGGAACTTGCAGGGCACAGCACACAGACCTGACCTGGGTCTGCTTGGAGCCCGAGGAGGGGATGTCCCCGAGACACGCACCCAGAGAAAGCAGCGTCTGCAGGCTGGCCTCCTCACAGATGTCCCATAGTCGTCACAAAGGTGACTTTCCCAACTTCCATGGCACAAGCTCGCATTCACAGAAAGAAGACAATTGTGGCCTGGTGGGGCAATACCGTGCAGTACCCTCACCAGGCACAAGCACCCTCAGAGGAGAGAGAACAAACCGGATGAGAAACCAACACAACACTGTAAAGCAAGAAAATGAAAGTTACTCAGTCGTGTCTGACTCTTTGTGACCCCATGGACTATACAGTCCATGGAATTCTCCAGGCCAGGATACTGGAGTGGGTAGCCATTCCCTTCTCCAGGGGATCTTCCCAATCCAGGGATCGAACCCAGGTCTCCCGCACTGCAGGTGGATTCTTTACCAGCTGAGCCACCAGGGAAGACCAATTTTCCCCCAGTTAAAAATAAATTTAAAAAAACAAAAAAATAAAAAACCAACAAATAAACCACCAAACAAAAGTCAGACAAGCCTTGTGATTGGAGAGCTGCTGTTCTAGAGAGGATTCCAGAAAAGCTGGTCTGAGGAGGGGGAGCAGTTCTCTGCCTCCCCCCATCCCCCGCAACCCAGACCCCCTGCCTGCCTCCCCAGATTCTGTGGTGGAAACCATCCTGTTACTGCAGACACAGACTCCGAGCCTGCGGGAAGGAAGTGCCTGGTGAATCCAAGTGTAATTAGGGGGTCAGCATTCAAGATGTTCATTGTCCCCATCACATCCTCCACAGCGCCACAGTGACTTAGGTCTCACTCAGTCCAACTGGGAGAGGGCGGGGTCTCAGGAAAGATCTGGGTTCAAGCTCTGACCCTGAAAGTCACTAACCAGTGACCCTGGGCAGGAGACCACCCCTCACACCTCAGCTGCTCGCTTTTCTGCTAAGAGGGTGGTTGTTGCGGTCTCACGGGGTTGTCGTGGAGAAAGAGCAGGAGGCTCTAACAGTCCACAGCCCCCACCCCCACGCCCACCTCCAGGGCCAGGGGATCCCCACCTGGCTGCCCCTCTGTCTTCCCAGGTGCTAAGATCATAACTCCTCTCCATTTCCTGCAAGCTTTCCTCTCGGACTCATAGAAGAAGCTCCCAGAGGGTCAGGACAGACTGACTTAGAAGAAGACTTAGAAAGAAGACTTAGAAATTTTCAAGGATGGCCACCAAGGCCCTTCTGAGCCACCAACCCAGGACCATCACCCTCATCAGATGGGAAAACCAGGCCTCATCACAGAGCTGGAGGTGAGCCTTCAGGTGCCCTGACCCAGGCTCTGTGTCCCCCAGCCTGCAGTCCTCCTGTCCCATCACCCCCAGCAGTCCCTCTGTGACAGAGCCCCCCCAACATCTGGGGCACGTGGGGCATCAGAGTTCCTTGGCGTTCTTTGGGGCAGCTGGTGGTTGGACACCCCAGCCCCTCCGTGATTCAGCCTCCACCCCCGTATCTGGCCCTGCGCCATACCTTGGCATTCTGCAGCGGCGGCTGATAACTGGACGGCCGGTAGAACATCCTCTGGGTGGTGTCGGTGTGCACGTCCCCGAGGAAGAGCTCCTCCACCAGGCGGTCCAGGCTGTGTGGCAGGTGCTGCTTCTCCACGCGCACCAGCTGCAGCTCGTGCATGGCGAAGTTCACGGCCCGGGTGCACTCGCGCCCGCCCTCCTCCCGCCACAGGTCGTAGGGCACGTCCTGCACCCAGGCGCCCCCAGCAGGCACAAAGCCGGGGCACGTGCGGTTGACCAGCTGCCCCAGCTGCTCGGCCACCGCTTCCGAGTGGCACACGACCTGCACGCGGTGCAGCTGGTAGTCAGCCTCAGTGCCGCCGCGGATGATCCAGGAGGCCTGGCGCAGGCGGATCTTGCCGCGGACCACCAACGTGTAGGTGGGGCTGGTGCAGCGGTTGCCGCCGTAGTAGAACTGGTAGGCCTTGAATGTGTTGTTGTGGTAGAATCGGTAGGACCTGGTGATAAACTCGGGGCCTGACCGCACCTCACAGCTGCGGGAAAGCAGGGGAGAGACCCAGTGAGCCTGGAGCCACAGGAGGGGGGTCATCACAGGGGCCCAACCCCGTACCTCACAGCTACAGAAAAATGGGGGGATGCTGTGAGCACAGTGGAGGGGGGGTGGTCATCACAGGAGTCTGACCTCACAGCTCACAGTTGTGGTCAATGGGTTGGCCAGAGAATCCATCCACTCATCACCTTTAGCCAGATCCTAGTCTTGGTGACATTGGGACTTTCCTCTCACCAGTCTTGGCCTTTAACCTGCTTGTATCTATTATTTATATATAAACCTAGTAGGTATGGTAAATCTGGTTTGAGCCATGTGTGGCTAAATCAAGCTGTGAAGCTGACATCCCAAAGGCCAGTGGTTCTCAAAATTACTGTTAGTTTACAAACTGGTGGATGGGCATTAGGGCTTCCCTGATGGCTCAGTGGTAAAGAATCCACTTGCAATGCAGGAGACACAGGCGATGTGGGTTTGACCCCTGGGTCAGGAAGAGGAGGAGGAAATGGCAACCCACTCCAGTATTCTTGCCTGGGAAATCCCATGGACCAGAGGCTATAGTCTATGGGTCGCAAAGAGTCAGACACGACTGAGCATTACCGGAAGTGGGTACCATTCTCTGGGGAGAGACCTTCACCTGCCGGCAGATGCTGAGTGGACAACGGCACCCAGTGGTCCTCTGAGCATCTGTCTCTGTGACAGAGGGAGAGGAAACCCATATTCCCCCCATCCCCCAGGGAGAGAGGAGTCCTTCCGTGCAAGCAGGCTCATGTCTGCTGCCATGGCTTAGACAAGAGCATCACTGACTTCTCACACCTCATCTCACTTGAGGATCTGCTGATCCAGTTCTAAGTTCGCACCCACTCACTTCTCCATCAGCCCACAGACTCTGACTCCCCTCACCCAGCCCTCAGCCATCTCCAGCTGGAACTAGTCTCTAGCTAGGTTTTTAATTGGTCATCCCCAAGTTGAAAGGGGCTGGGACCCAGGACCCTTGGCTGCAGTGCCTGCACCTGGACACACTTCTCCTCCAGCAATGGATAAATAGAAACTACAAGACTAAAAATAACTGTGTGCATGTGCAGTTGGGCAAATGATGGACAACAAAATACAGAAAGACCAAAAACCCCACTGCCTTCTGAAGAGCCGGGAGCAAAAGCAGGGGACTGTATGTGCCCCCTGCACTCAATACCACTTAAGGGGTGGGCAGACCACTTAACCCATCCCACCTGCCAACCCCTGGACACACCCCCTACCCTCATCCCATGTAAAGAACAAGCTCACCCTTCCCTTGGGGGGTTGTTGTTATCCTTGTTTAGTCACTAAGTCGTGTCTGACTCTTGTGACCCCATGGGGTGTAGCCTGCCAGGCTCCTCTGTCCATGGGATGTCCCAGGCAAGAATACTGGGGTGGGTTGCTATTTCCTCCTCCAGGGGATCTTCCCAACCCAGGAATCAAACTCGAGTGTCCTGCATTGGCCGGCGGATGCTTTACCACTAAGCCACCTGGGCGAGCAAGGCAACCTATTACTTCTTTTTGCTCCCCTCTGCTGCATCAGGGGCCCCAGTAAAGCCTGGCCTGAATTTCTTGTCTGGCCTCTGATTGATTTCTATTGATTAAGGAGGCCGAGAACCCTATTATCCCCATCACTCTTTCCACCATCCCCTTGAGCCAGAGCATCCTTCAGTCACATTACAACGGGCTATTAACAGGGCCCTTGCTGAAATCTCTTCAATGGCATCCCCAGTTCTCTTACATTAAGAGAGTTGGCTCTGTGAGCCAAACTCACAGAGACTTGGCCTGCAAGGACCCTGAGAGCCAACTTAGCCTCCTCCTTGGCCTCCTGGGGACTGTCCCGCCCCCACCCCAGGCACAGGGCTACCATGGTGCTTCTCCAGTCCAGCCTCTGCCTGCCCCACAGCAAGAGCTCTTCCCAGTCTTGCACTGCCAAGGACATCTCAGCTCAAGTATCCTCATCTTGGTAGCCCTTCCCACCCCAACCCATCCTAAAATAGGGGCCCTGAGATTCTCTTGGAGCACCTGTTGTTTTTTTCTCTCTTCGTAACACTTCTTTGTGTGTTTATTTGTGAAATTCCTAAAGATGTGTCTGTTTGATTCTCTGCTACACACACTAAATCTAGAACTGTGCTCAGGCGCAGTAAACATTTGTGCACTCTAGAAATATTTGTTGAACAAAATGATAAATTATTTAAAAGTACACTGCTTTAAGATTGTCTGTGCCAATACTGATGAGGAGGTTATTCTGAGAAACCCCATTTTTAGAGGAAAAAAAAAAAAAACAGACCAAAAAACCTCTGGGTCTTCCTTGTCTTATTCTTTTTTTTCCTCTCTTCTCTGAATGCCTGTGAACCCTCCCTGAGGCACCTGGGGAGGGTCTGCACAGGTGTCAGATCCCACTATTCCTTAGCCTAGTTAGCTATGTGAATTTGCACCAATTTAATGGGCAGGGCGAGGACTATAGGTCTGCCTCTGGGCTATTTTTAAAAGCTCTAATGGAAGATAAGCCAGAGCTCAAACCAGGATAAATCTCAGCTCCACAGCCTGGAAAAGAAGCCAAGAGCTGCGCCCTGGCTGGTCCAGGCAGTGTGGGTCCCTTTCAACGTACTCTCAGACTCTGAAGCTGGATATCAACTTACCAGAACACGGCTAGACTATTTAGACCATCAGAAGCTTGCACGTCATGTTTCAGGGTTGGTGAAACACAGACGCCTTGCTAATTTCACTTGCTAATGGTTTCTTTTCATACTCGAGTGGTCCTCAGGTTCAGTAAACAAGGACGCTTTCACTCCTGGTGGCTTCACAGTGGCCTCGTATCCCCACTGCCCAGGCTAAGATTTCTGCAGGAAAGAGCTCTGTTTCTTCATCAACCCAGGCTTCCAAGAGTCACTTGGCTCTGAGTGAGAACTCAGACAACCCCAGGATCATTGTGGGTTCTAGAAAGCCTCTGTGCAACTGAGAAACCCTAAGAAACCCTAAGAAGTGCACTCGCCGGCCCTCGTGCCCCGGCCACTTACCCGGTGGACACCCAGTGGCCCTCGATGGCAGGTGGCATCTGCACGGTGATCCTGGCTCCATTGTGGAGGTGTTTGAGCATGTGATGACACTGGGATTCCTTGAAGGCCCGCCAGGCGCTTTTCTCCAAGGACCTGGGATGGGTCCTGCTGTCCGGATGAAGGAGAGCAGAGCCCTCTCCCAGCCCTGAAACAGAAACGCGGAAGCTTGTGTCAGTGGAGCCCGAGAGACCTGAGGCTGGTGGAGGAACTTCCCCGAGGCAGAGACATCCCCCAGGTGGGAAACGCCGGGTCGATGGCTGTTCCTGCTCTCCTGGAATTCACGCCTCAGTGGGAAAGGGTCTCAGGAGATCCTCGCCCAGCTGAGAAGATGGGATCCAGGGAGACAATGAACGTGACTTGCGTGAGGTCACTTGGTGAGTCCCTAGCAAAGCCAGAGCCCAAACCCAGTTTCCTGAACCAGCCAACAAGGCCATGCCTCTGGGAACAGCTGTGCAGGGCTGCAGGGGAGAGAAGCCTGTGCTTCAGGGCCACCGAGGCTGGAGACAGGGCTGGAAGGATGGCAGGAAGGGAGGCCGGGAAGGTGGACATGCCAGTCACACACAGACGGCAGTGGCCTCAGCAAAAGGGTGAAAGGAACTGGCAGGAGAGGCCCATGGCGCTCAGGAGACACCCTGCCGTAGGGGCTCCCTTCTGCGCGCACTACCTCATGCGTCTCGGGGTCATCGGTCTCCAAGTGGACACCCTCTAAAGGTGGTACCAGTCTTCCACTCGCCCTTCAAGGGGGCAGGGGTGACATTTCCCCCGTGATCTCTCAAAGCTGCCACCCAAAGTTGGTGACAAACATACGTTACAGGGTTTAAAATAAGACTGACTGCAAGACTGAACACCTGTAAATGTTTTCCAGGGTAGAGGGGACCTAGGCCGAAACACCTCTTTAGTACATGTAGACCAGGTTGGCCAAAATGTGCATACAAAAGTACTACCACCACGTGTTCAGGAAAAGGCAATGAAAACAGGAGGAGCTGTCTTTCTGAAAGCCTGCTGTTCCTTCTGAGAGTCAATCCTGAAATAACTCATGATCTGATGGGTCTTTATTGTGGACCCACTAGGTATTCAGCACTGTGTTAGTAAAAAAAAAAAAAAAAAAAAAACTACTATTAGACAAACATACAGCAATGAAAGATGGGTGTTAACAAAACTGATTGTGGTAATCGTTTCATAATAAATGTTAAATGCTACGTCACCACCAACTCTGTTCGGCCAAACCACATGAGTCACACCTCATTTAGAGTGTGTGTATGTGTGCGTGCTCAGTTGTGTACGACTCTTTGCGACCCTCCGCACTGTAGCCCACCAGGCTCCTCTGTCCATGGGATTCTCCAAAATACTAGAGTGGGTTGCCATGCCCTCCTCCAGGGGATCTTCCCGACCCAGGGATCAAACCCATGTCTCTTATGTCTCCTGCATCAGCAGAGGGGTTCTTTACCAGTAGTGCCACCTGGTAATGTGGTGACGCTAAAACTCAGAAATCTGCATCAGGTGGTGTAGACATCATGCTTAGGGCTGTTAAGCAAGGACCCCTTCCCCATGGCCTTCAACTCCATCCCAGTAAAGGTCTTTCTGCTGTAGTGATGCTCCTGGGTGCTCCATTCCTGACCCTCCCCAGAGAGGGGAAGGAAACAGGCAGGACACAAGTCTGCTAACCTGGCTGTTTCTCTTTGCAAAGCCAGCCTGTTTTCAAAACACATGCACTCTGATCAGCCCCTCTGCCAGCCCCACAGTGAGGCCCGTTCAGTAGGTAGGCTGTGGCTCTGGGAAGGAGGAAAGTCTGGAAAAGTCAGGGGTGACCTGTTAGCAATCCTACATGGCCATCCACCCTCCCTGTGTCTTCTGGTGGGGTATCTAGCCTAATTCCAGGGTTTCAGTCCCCATTTGTCTGGCACCTGTGTGGACCTCTCTCAGCTGGCTTTGAACTTGAGGCTGGAGAGGGATGCCTCCACCAACCCCAAGAGTGGTGATCATCCTGACAATAGGAAGCACTTCCTGAGTCCCCTGGTGGGAGTGAAACCAAGATATAATACAGTATAACTTGCCATCAGTTTAGTCAATTGTGCGAGCAATTGTTATGTGGCTAAAAAAAAATAGACTTTAATTCAAGTCTTCAAATCTCGAGACACTGGGAACTGAGGAAGATTCTCTTTTAAATGTGACACTCAGCATTCAGTCAAGATGCCATGCTCTCAGATCAACCAAGCCAAGCTCTGTTCTAAAACTGATTTATATAAACCCCTTTACACCCTGCAAATGTGTTCCCATAAAGGTAAGGAAAGCTGGAAGGGAGTAGATATGGGTGAAATGCCGGAGCTGGGCTGCTTGGGTTTGTAACTGGATCAGCCACTTAATGGATTTCATCAAACCCAAGACTTCAGTGGTTGTTAAGATGCATCATTATTTTATTACCAGTGACAAAAAGCACTTGCATTTAAATAATAGCAGCAGTGCCCAGATACCCTCAGAGCATGGCCTCTGACTGCTTCATCGCTCCAGAGAGATCCGGCCTTCAGCTGCAATGCTTCACTAGGACAGTAACGGCTCTGATCTGCAACAATCTACAACAAAGCTCAAACACAGCCTCCTCTTTTCGTGGGCATCTTCCCTTCACATAACTGATTGTTTCTCAGTGAGGAAACATGTAAGGGCAGTTACTTCCCACCCTCACTCTGAGATGAACACTCGCCCCACTGATGTCACAGGACACCCCCGGCTCTCTTACTGGTCTGCCTGATTTCCACCCTGGTTTTGTTCTCAGCGCTGAGTGGAATTTACAAGTGAATTCTAATACCTGGCTCAAACTTTCACTCTATTTTCAGGACCAAGCTATTGGCAACTATGCCACAGATGGAGAGTAACAGGAGCGCACAGAAAGGAAGTGAGCTGAGGACAGTACGGGCAGCTGGATCCAGGTTCACGCAGGTGAAGACACGTCCCCAACACGACTACCACCCACAGGCTCACGGTGACCGGAAGATGCACACCCACTGTAAAGACCTTGTTTATGAAAGGATATCAGTCCTACAACCGATGAAATACACAACGGCACCGTGACCACAAACCCATCACTTGGCCCCCACAGGCTCCCGTGTGCTCACCTGTAAAGAGGAAGGAACAGCGCTGCGGGGTCCTGGGGTCAGTCTCAGGACTCGCCAGGAGCATTTCCTTTAGCACATGGTTCACAGTTCTTATTAGATGTTAGTTGCTATTATTTTAGGGCTTCCCCAGTGGCTCAGTGGTAAAGAATCCACCTGCAATTCAGGAGCTGCAGGAAACGTGGGTTTGATCCCTGGGTCAGGAAGATCCCCTGAAGGAGGGCATGGTAACCTGCTCCCAGTATTCTTGCCTGGAGAATCCCAAGGATGCTGGTGGGCTGGAGTCCATGGGGTTGCCGAGAGTCAGACAAGGCTGAAACGACTTAGCATGCACATATGCTTTTATTTTAAATGATGATCAGGCTCTTAGAGGCCCTGAGAAAGCCCTTCTTAACTAACAGAACGGCTACCATAACCGTGGGAGGCCCCTGACCTGGTGCGCTCCAAGCTCTGCACAGACAGGGTACCCAGAGGCCCGGGCTCCTAGCAGCCGACTCACTGGTGACCCAGATGGAGAGGAGGGTGGGGGCCCGAGGCCGGTGACAAGCTCTACTCACCGTAACCAGTGCCCACGTGCTGCCACTCTGTGCAGCGTAGGGGCTGGAAGCACAAAGAAGAATGAAGCTGAGTTTTTCCAACATGGAGACGCTCAAGGTCTCGCTGGGCTGGACGTCCGAGGACCAGTGTGGATGGTGACCAGGTCTGGGGAGGAGGTAGGTTCGGGGGCGGGGGAACAGAGCGTGGTGCTCGGGACCTGCATGGCTGTGCAGCAGGCGGGGGCCACCCAGGGACGGAGCTCACAGGCAGCTTTTTAACCAGGGAAGAGAGAAATAAAATCCCCAAACTACCAATTGCACATCATTAGAGAGCAGGCAAAGGGCTTCTAGAGACAGATCTCCATCTTGCTGCTGCTCCTGGTGGACAATGGGCCACATCGGGGGCCAGGCGAGGTGTTGCCCAGGAGGCCCGCAGGACTGAGGCCTCGATAGACAACCCCTCCCTGGGACACAGGGCTACTCACCAGGTGGGGATGAATCTTTAGGGTGGGAAATAGGACTGGAATTTGTTCTCTTTTTATCTTTTTCCTTCAAAGTACCCATCACCTTGATGGTTCTTAGGGAGCAAAACTGAAGGGGTCAAGTGGGAGCAGGCAGAAGAAGCTGTCTCTAATGGTCAGCTCTGGACGGGCGTTGCCAACACTCACCCAGCTCGCCTGGTGTAAGTCGCGGACACCAGCCTCTTGTGAAAATGAAAAGTGTTAGTCAGTTGTGTCCAACTCTGCGATCCCATGGACTGTAGCCTGCCAGGCTCCTCTGTCCCTGGGATTCTCCAGGCAAGAATACTGGAGTGTCGCAATGAAGAAACAGACGTAGAGAACAGATTTATGGGGAGAGGGGTGGAGAGGGTGAGATGTATGAAGAGAGTAACATGGAAACTTACATTACCACTTGTAAAATAGGTAGCCAACAGGAATTTGCTGTATGTCTCAGGGAACTCAAACAGGGGCTCTGTATCAACCTAGAGTGGCGGAATGTGGTGGTAGATGGAGGGAGGTTCAAGAGAGAGGGGATATATGTATACCTATGGCTGATTCATGTTGCAGTTTGACAGAATACAACAAAATTCTGTAAAGCAATTATCCTTCAATTAAAAAAAAAAAAGAACACAGGAGTGAGTAGCCATTTCCTTCTCCAGGAGATCTTCCCAACGCAGGGATCAAACCCAGGTCTTCTGCGTTGCAGGTGGATTCTTTAGCGTCTGAGCCAGGCTCAGTCTAATATTCAATCAACAACTGGGAGTGAAATGGCCACATGAGGCACCTAGTTCAGCTGTAGAGGAGGCCATGTGGACCACTCCCCACTCCTTATACCCCAAGACTCCCTTCCCAGGATCAGCCATGGGGTACCCTACAAGACCAGTCTTAGGACCAACCCATGGCCCCATTTTCTCGCATCGCCAGGACTCTGCCAGCTCCAAATATGGGACTGAAACTAGCAACTCACTCACACCATCAGAAAGGCTCCAGAGGGCCAGGCAT